CTAGGAATTATGTCAACTACTATGGCAGACGACTTGGACTAGGTGCAAACTACTAAGTCTCTGACAAGACTAAGTTGCGACAATGAGGTCAACCCACTTCTATAAATCATAAGGAGACTGCGACCATACTAGAGGCCACACCATCTTGGTCTTCATATCTTAAATGTATAATATACACTTCGTCCTTTGTAATCTTAACATTTCGTCCTAGTCTTTTTATCATTTCCTAATATATTTTCCAACCCTTCTCTTGATCTTTTGTAATTGTATGCATTTTTTTCCACTTTTTCCTCCTACCTGGCCAGTTTCCTGAAAGAGGCAATCAGCGTAATGGATCACTTCGGTAAATCGATGAACGATCTTGCCAGTCGAGTGGCTGGTCTACAGAAGCGGCAAGATTCCCAGAAGCGTCGCTTAGTAGATACACGAGAGGAGATCCGACGCCAGCTTGAGCAACAGGAAGTGAGTTATCTCCATCCTAAAAACATCTTCTGTCTGACTAAATTTCTGAGTTTTTATGTTTGGACGAATGCGCTTTTGCTAACTTACACATGTTTTCTATTTCTTCGAATAGTGCAGTTTTACCCATTTGTGCTTAGCTTCACACTTGTGTTCTTGTGCGTTTTTATTTTAGTGTCTGCATGCATATGTGTGTCTAAGTCAAAATATTTGGTATTTAGGCATGCATCGGTCCTGTTTTTAACTGTTTGCAGTTGATACTTTTATATTTTTGCCTTGTTTCTGACGATTTATGCTAATATTCATGAATGAATCGCCGATATTAAGACCAAGCTAGTGTGGCCTTTGAGTTCTGTTGCAATATTCTTTAACTGTATAGTGTTTCTTTAATCTCGTTTTCGCAACTTGGTCGGACTGACATACCTCACCGAAACTACTTTGCCATAGTGTTCATGATGATTTTTAGCATCGGGCCGTTGGCTTGATACATCTCCAGACGTTTCGCCGGCATCATTAGTGAAAGGCATCATTATCAACACAGAATTACAGCTTATCGAAGTAACAAGTGAGGGCATCTTCTCCTTAGGCTTCAGATCGACTACCAAATCATCCCCTTTCTATATTTGATCGTTTCTTTTCAATTTATCTTAGTTATATCGTTCCTATTCATGGATTCTTTATGTATCCATAGCTACCATTTATGGTAGCCTATCTTACGTATTTATCGACTTAACTAAATGTCCTTGATTGCCTTCTTTCATTCTGAAGTGCAATATTTAATCTTTTTTTGAGAATTGTGTCTTTGCGGTCGAGAGAGACGGAAGATTTATTATTTTATTTGTACTATGAGATTCGCCGTTCTATCTGTATCTTCATTTTTCCATGGTGGTTTGCCCTTGATCTGCT